AGTGTCAGCTCTAGTCCAAGCGAGACCACATCTTGCACGGATTCAACTGCAGAACCGTCAGCTACATTTCTACCACCCGTTTCCAGCGCTCCTACATCGTCTAATCAGTCACCAACTACCACATCCCCGTCGGGGTCCGCAAACCCCACTACTGGTAGCTCGGGCTCAGAGACCCCGGCTGGCTGCCTTTCAATGACCACGATGGTCATTTCTACGATGACTTTTTCTTGGTGCGATCAAGTGGCATCCTCAACGCTCGCCGCGACCGGGCAAACCAGTGCTCAGAATGGCCAGAGCACTACAACAAATGCCCAATTGCCGACTGCTGCCCCTGGTGGATACGAATTCCATTCGACATCAGTTGGTCGACGGTCGGCTGCTACATCGGATGTTGTTCGCAACTCTATCATTGGTGTTCCCTCGACCCTCGTCACGATCGTTCTTCCGTCTCCATCACGTGAAAACCTGTTTGCGCCCAGCGGAATCCCACAATGTGGCGGCTCTAATGACCGGGGTACATTCATCCAGAATGTAAGCTCTATTCTTCATCACAACATACCTACCATCAAATGTTTTCATCACTGACTATTCTAGTTTGACGACCTCTCGTACCAAGACGCGAGATCAGCAGACAATCCTGGCCCTATGCCCATGTCCGCCCCATATCATCGGTTCTACTACTCTGGTGGTTTCACTGTCTTACCACCGCCTGCCGGTCGGTTTAAGCCAGCTTCCGACAATCTAATGCTTCAATTTACTCCGTCATCTATATCGAACGTCTCTCAATCAGGGATCCCCCCTGATACTGCTGATATCAGCGTTGGGCCTCAAAAGCACACCAGTTGCTTTTCGTTCAACTTTACCCAGGTCAGTCTTGGGTGCGACTCTAAAGATGCATCTTGCTCTTTTACGTTTACCGGGTTCAAATATGATCGTTTCAAGACACAGACGACTGTAGTCGCGACACAAATAGCCAGTGTTCCGCCATGTTTGGAAGCGACAGGTTGCGCGTTAACTCCCATTCATGTTTCCAACTTCAATGACATAACCTCCATTACCATCAAGGCCGATGTAAATGGAGGACCTACAATCTGGTGGGCAGATGATTTCGCTTTCGGCTGGTTCGACAGCACTTGTGAATCAGAGGCTTGTCGGTCCAGAGTGCCTAACGGCAGTACAAGCCCAAGTTGGGCCGCTGTTAGTCGACAGGCAGCGTCAAAACTCATGACCTGGATTGGTGTTCGCGATTGATGATGTGCTATGGGATCTTGTAATCAAGGATGGTCAGACCATATCATTTGCTCTGCGCGGGAATTTGCTTGACATTTAGCGTCAGTGGCCGCATGGGGGAGGGCCATCACCTTGCCCCCAACATAATACCTATGGTGGATGCGACTCACAAATAGTGAAAGGCACATGGGATAATTTTGGTCGGTCAAAAAATGTAGCTACTTATAATTCAATCGGGTAAAGATCGGTGCATCAAGTTCTACTTAATAATTCTAGCCTCTTCGTTCAAGCGGACATTGCTGAATCAATACACTCGGCGCAGATCAATTCGTAGGTGACTGTCAGCCAAGTGGACTAGAAATTAAGGTCTCAGAAGAGCTTTCAGCAGAATCATGAAACCGTGTGAGATACTTCTGAGCGAAAGTTTCACGATCTTTTCTGACAATAGTGCCTGGATGAAGCTGTATTGCGCCATTCAATTGAGCCCAGTAAATTCCATTCATTGTCTCTACCTTGTCAGGTGGCAACTTTGACAAGAATCTACTATTCTATGTAATCAATTGATGCTGTACCCTCGATTACTACAGTGACACTGCATGGCAGAGTTTCCGAGCGCGGTTATTCCCGAATATGCGTGAGTTGGTAAAGGATGCCATCACAACGGATCGCATACAGGTATAGCTGCGCGAATTGTCTCACTGTACATGCCCAAATCGGTGTCGTGGCTCTAACGATATATCGATTCTAGAGCTATCAGCATCGTTAAGCCATAGAACAATCATATAAGTGCGAAACCTCATATTACACTATGCTATTTGTAAAGGCGGCGTGCTGTGGCTGTACTAACCATGATAAATGCCCATCCCTTGCCGTCCCCATCCGAACTCGTACACCAACGGTTTCTTTTGCCAGGGTAGCAGCATCATACACTGCATTACAGGCTCACTCTATTGCCTGTACGATCCCAGTAACAACATAATATTACCTGTCGTAGGACCTCGGAACTGCAGCCCGCCGCCACGTCACGATCAAGCCTCCAAGTAGTTTGCCAGGCATGGAGTCCTCCGAATAGACATGAGCGCGTCATTGGCACACAGCTGAACTTCTGGATCATCTTCAGATGCGGGGACGTCGCGATCATATGCATGTCTCGGTAACGATATCTAGCTCCGCGGCTAGAAACCGCTGCTATAATATTTCTGGGTTTAAATCACTGTGCATACTTATCAAGCACTTATTAGCAAAGATGTAAATACTAGGTCCCCTCAGTTTCATTCTCTCTCACCCTCCGACGTATTCATCGTATGTCCATACCTGAAACCTTTCCCTTGCTACACCTTATTTCATCATGAGATACTTCACTTTGGGCCGCCTTGTCACCAAGATTGTCCTAAGTACACTTTCTCCCATTGCCATAGCTCATGGAACCCAGTACCCTCTTCAGCCAGACGCCCCCTCAGACAGTGAGAATGCAGTCTACGGTGGCACTGGCTTTAGATGCAACCTTGCTAGGCCTATAAATCCTTCGGAGGACGGCCTGCTAAGCTCAGAAGACGTATTTTCGGGCTCGGACGCTCTTGATACTATAATCGAGCGACATCAGTCGCTCGTCCGCATAGAGTCAATATGCTATGACGATCTTGGCGATTTCGGTGACGACGACAGATGGGAACCGTTTCGCAGCGTGCCTGTTGCCCTAGAGGAGGCATATCCCAATGTGTAAGTCATTTACCGGTGTTCATAGATATAGTAGAACCAATCTCACAAAACCACAGCTATAAGTACGCTAAAAATGAGACGATCAATGAGTTCGGACTTGTGTACACGATCCAGGGCTCGGACCAAAACCTTGCTCCAATACTTCTGACTGCTCATCAAGACGTTGTGCCTGTCGACGAACACACTGAGGGTCAATGGGACTATCCACCATTCGGGGCAAACTACAGTGAAAATGATGGGTATCTTTGGGGCCGTGGCGCATCGGATGACAAGTCCGCCGTTACAGCCCTCATGTCAGCGATGGAAGCTCTCCTATCCCAGGATGAGTATGAACCTCGTCGCACTGTCATATTCGCCTTCGGTTTCGATGAAGAATGCTCGGGCTATCGCGGAGCTAGCGAAATAGCAAAGCATCTAGAAGAGCAATACGGCAAAGACGGGATAGCTGTCATTCTTGACGAGGGAGGAGCCGGCCTGCAGAACTTAGGTGACACTTTATATGCACTCCCCGCCGTGTATGAGAAGGGGTACTTAGACGTGTGGTTCGACCTGCAGGTCACCGGCGGCCACAGCTCTGCGCCCATGCCTCACACATCGATTGGGATCATGTCGGAGATTGTCGTCGCCCTCGAATCCAACCCATTTGAGCCCAAAATTATCCGAGACAGCCCGGTGCATGAAGGCTTGGTGTGCTTGGCGCGATATTCACCTCACGCCCTACCCGAACTCACCGAAAGTATCTATCACGGCGACCTCCGAGCAGCAGCTCGTATCCTGGCCCAGGCGTCGCGCCAGTCGCAGTATATGATCCAGACATCTCAAGCCGTCACCTGGACTACGGGAGGAACCAAGATTAATTCTCTACCCGAGTACGTGACCTTGGGAGTCAACCATCGCTATGCACCACAGGACAGCATCGGCTCAATCCAAGACCGTATCGTGCATCTGGTCCGAAACGTGATTCGGAAATACGACATTGAGCTAGAGGCGTTTGAAGACGACGAAGACTATCAGAACTATCTTGCTAACAAAGGCACTTCGCTTCAAGAAGAGGCGGGGGAACTCAAGCCACGCCATCTTTGGGAACCACTCTATAACGGTAGTCTCAAACTAGAGGCACGGAAGAGGTCCTACATCACGCCCCAGTCGCCTACGCGTGGCGCTGTCTGGGACACATTCGCAGGCACCGTGCGCTATACATACGCCAATGAAGCCTCTCATGTTGTAGTAGCCCCGGGCGCCATGACTGGGAACACTGATACCCGTCACTATCTGAGTAAGTGGTCAAACAGCATATGACACACACCTTAACATGTTTGAATATGTCAGTGAGCTAGCTAACGAAGTAAATCTCAAACAGACTTATCGCCAAACATCTACAGATGGAGCCCCGGCAGCCTCAAGTCATTCGGGAATGTCCACACAGTCAATGAGAAGCTTCTCATGAGCGAACATGTCGATATGGCGAGATTCTACTACGACTTTATCCGAAACTTCGATAAGGCCGACCTTGATGACGATTGGTGAAGCGCGCCTATTCGCGGGGCTTGAAATTGGAGGGAGAAGGGAGCGACTTGCGGGGGGGTGAATGAAATGGGAAATTGCACATGATGGTTTATGAAAAAAAAAATAAAAAAAAATCTCTTTTTTCAACAAAAGGATATGACTGAGATGAATGAATGATGCTCATTTACGGACACGAGGACTTCGGGGTGGTTGGTTACAGGGTGAGCTTGGTTAGCATAAGGAACAAGCATACATTCTTACTTGCCGGGATCGTTCGATTGAACTCGCGATTGATGCGCTGACTTCATCTACTGATGTAAGCTTACGGAAGTATTATATCTAAGTGATATTTACATGTATCAATTTCGACAGCGTTAGGTACTATGTTTCATTTTGATTGTCCGGCCTTGCTCTGACTTCTCAACTACATACCCTAATATTACTACAACCACGACCAGGTCTACCCCTTCCCCTTGCAATCTACCTAATCACACGAATCGAACGTAGAATAGCCCTGTTGAAATTTGACAAAAAGAATCATTCAATGCCCACTGCCAGAGTCGAACTGACGACCTCATCATTACTAGTGATGCCTATCGTAGCGTTAGTATGCCGAAGGTATCGTTGAATTAGTTCATTAGACTTACGCTCTACCGCTGAGCCAAGCGGGCCTGTGACGGCGATCCATATTGGGCGGTGGGAGATGTTGGCCGAGGAGATTACTTAACGTAGCTACCTCTCACCAAACATTGCGAACGCTATATAGAAGTGGCCTTGACCTGCTATCTCTCACGCCTCTGACCAACCCTGCTTTCGCGGATGAATGCTGTAAACAGCTGCTGGAAAATAATCGAAGCGTTTAACAAATTCCCGCAAAGTACCCAGTCTGTGAGCTAGAGAATGGACTACTAGTAGGCATAGGGAAAATATCGGCCGCCGCCTTAGCGAACTCAAAGACTTGCGGCATATTTAGAAAGACCTTTAGCGCAGCGGAACGAAAGTCGTACGTTACGCTGTGACTCTTTCATATAAGCTCTGTGATGAAGAGAATATTTAGGGAATACTGGACGCGCCCTGTCTATATCTATTCGAAAGTTGCCGTGGGCATCGGAATCATGAGCCCGGTAACCTTGCCATGGCCTCCCTGGCATGTTTTCGTTGATCGCGCCTAACTCTCTTCATGTACCGGTACAATCTCACTTGGATAGACTCTCCTTCCCAAACACCGACTCAAATTCCAAGATTTAGAGAACCTCCTTTTGTCTATGTTCTCTCTGACCCATATCTTCGGGACGATAGACTAGCAGGTCATCCTGCGACTGATAAACGGCCGGGCCAATCTTGTGGCCCGCGAGCGGCCGTTCAAGACGCACAATTAGATCATGTTCACAGCATCCGGGGGATTCTCCCCACCTAGCAGGCATCAGTGGTTTAGTGGTAAAATCCATCGTTGCCATCGATGGGCCCCGTGTTCGATTCACGGCTGATGCAATTCAATTCAATTTTTTGCGCTTGTCAACGTCGAGTTAGTTCATGTGGTAGGTACGGCCTTGACGTTGATCTTTGTGATATGGTACTACGGTACCCCACGAGCTTATGGCGGACCAGCGAAGGCGACACGGCATCCGGCATGGCAAATCGCGGCGCTTTGACCTCTGTCACTGACCTTTTGTTCTACTTCTAGATCATCACCTTATTCACGGGCTTTAAGTGCTGGTATCGAGATTGGATAGGGCGTCGGTCAAGTCGCGGCGCTAATTATCTAATATTTTGTTTCTCATTGGTCTTCTGCAAGTAAGACGGTACGTTAAGCTTCCGGGCTGGGGGGAATGCTGCCGAATAACCTGAGCACTTTGAATTTTTCGGGTGAAATGAAGCCCTCGCCCAATCCGATGAGTTTTTACTAGCTACACGTGTGACGATTGTGTAGCTGTAAGATCCCGATATGAAACCACATTGTTCAGAGCATCGTACCTGGAGTATCAAAAGGCCCATGTGAAGTACTTTTGACCTTTCGAGATAATCAGATTGGTTGGTTAGCTTTGTTCCAACTTCTTTACTACCCAGTATGATTACAACAACGACTAGGTCTCCCCCTTCCGCCTGCAATCTAGCCACGGGACTCAAAAACGTAAGGTAGCCTCCCTGAAATTTGACAAAAAGAATGAAATGCCCACTGCCAGAGTCGAACTGACGACCTCATCATTACTAGTGATGCCTATCGTGACTTTAGTACGTTATACGGAGTATAGCCGAGTTCTAATCGATGAAACTTACGCTCTACCGCTGAGCCAAGCGGGCCTAGGTGTTGTTTGCCATTTATTTCGAACTGATAACAGATCCTGGGCGAAGGAGACGATTTAACGTACGATAGCTCCCATCAAACATCGCGAACGCGGATCATAGAAGTGGCTTTATCGTGCCACCTCTTCGCGAATCTTCTAGCTCGGCCGCGAGAGTGCCTTCGGAAACATCTTCTCCGTCTTCCGCGTCCGTAACCCATCTCACTCTACCGCCCTTGCTTGCTCGAATCTCCAGCTCCATCTTCATCTGTTGCACCACGCACACTACCTGACCGGGTACTATCTCATCGCCTTCATCGACTAGTAGCTCGACTAGCTTCCCGGGGAATGGTATAAGTACATGATGTGGATTGTTGGGGTCTCCGCGACGACGTCGTCCCGTCGCTGTTATGGAGGAGGAGGATGCATTGGTGCTGTCCACTTCGAGCGTGAAGGATCGGGGTTTCTGAGAATTGGGATGCAAATATTCGATGTCGGCTTTGAGTGAAGAAGGGAACTGGTTGCGGGTCACGCGTGTTATCTTGATATGATGCGACTCTTCCGTTGCGCCAGGGGTGGAGGGTGTTAGCTTCAGAGCCCAAGCGTCATTCTTGCGTAATAGGACTGCTGAACTTGAGCTATTAGAGAATGATGGTAGGGATTGTGTCTTCTCTTGGGCTAGCGGGGATGATGTCTGCTGTTGGATATTGAGCCCGCGGGATATTTCTAAGCCTGAGGCAAGGAGGTTGCTCATATGCTTCTCGAGCCACAATGTATCACACAGTCCGTGTTCGAAGTCGCTGTGAGATACGATTGCTCGTAGAATATCCAGATTTGTTTTGACCCCCTCGATCCAAGTATCTTCAAGTGCTCGCCTACACTTAGACAGCACAGCCGGTTTATTTTCGCCCGTAACAATGATCTTGGCGAGCAAGCTGTCATAATCTGCACCGACGACTGTTGTTAGACGATGATTGAGATGAGTGTCAACTCTCACTCTGTGGCCAGTCGGTAGGGAGAAGCCCTCAATTCGACCGATGTTCAACGTCCAGCCTCTTTGGACATCTTCGGCTGTTAGTCGCAATTGAATTGAATGAAGCTTAGGTGTGTGCATAACATCTTCTGGGACGTTTCGTAGCTCCGTATCCGCGAGTTTTCGCCCTTGTGCAATTTCTAGCTGTATCTTCACTAGATCGACGGCAGCGATGCATTCGGTGACGGTATGCTCCACCTGAAGTCGTGGGTTCACTTCTAGGAAGTAGAACTGGCGTTGATCTACGTTGGCGAGAAATTCGAATGTACCGAGGGAAAGATACCTGATGTGCCTAGCCATCCGCATCGCGGCTTCGATGATGCTACCAACGAATCTGCGGTCTTTTATAGTGCTTGGCGCTTGTTCTACGATCTTTTGGAATCGTCGCTGAATACTGCACTCACGTTCCCAGAGGCTGCCGAAAATCTGGCGTCAGCAATATGAATAATCGAGAGGCCGAGCTCCTGCATGAGAATGAGAAACTATAAGAACTTACTGTCGCACATGGCCGGAGCCATCGCCGACGATCTGGACTTCAATATGTCTGAATCCGTCTACTGCAGCTTTCTCAACAATCACTTGTCGCGAGGGACTCTCTGCGACAGCGCGTTTCGTGGCGTCCTCAAGTTCAGACTCGTGTCGGACAAGACGGATACCCTTGCCACCCCCACCATCGACGGCCTTAAGCATAACAGAGAAGCCAATCTTCCTCGCAAAACGTCGAATCTCTTCAACATCTGCAGTTGGATTTTCCATAGCCGGAAGCGTAGGGACACCGCATTGCCGCGCAAGCAGCTTCGCAGCGAGCTTGTCCCCGGTCTTCCGTAGAATATCCCATCCTGGACCGATCACAACAACACCGGCCTCGTTCCACATGCGCTGAGCGAAGTCCGCCGACTCGGATAGAAAGCCATAGCCTGGGTGGACTGAATCAATAGCATGCTGCTTTGCGATTTCTATGAGTGCTGATATGTCTAGGTAAGTGGCTGGCGCAGGGATTGATAGGACGTGAGCAGCGCCCAAAGCGTGGCTTGCATCGCCAGCTGTTATGAGAGCGAAGGTCTCGATTGAGAGCTCTCGTGCGCTGTCGATGATTCTTTTGGCTATTTCGCCTCTGTTGTGTATTTAGTAATTTGAAAACCAAGAACACCGGTGCTATTGTATAGCCACTTTACTTACCTATTTGCGACGAGGAGGCGCTTGATCGCTCTCTGTGGAGGTCCACCACTACGATCGGTGGCTATTAGTGCCTCCATTGCATATCATGATATTATGCCGCGGATTATGGAATGCGAGCTCTATACTTCTTCAGCTTCTTCGGAAGTAGCTGAAGTAAAAATGATTTCTCAACTCTCTCCTACGTATGAATGCTTCTCAAGTAGCCGAGGTTCGAAGCATGAGTATGAGGAGATCGTCCCCGCGGGGGCCAAGCAACAATTACAGGGCTATTTACTGCGCTGTAGATCTACCCCAACCGAATAATCATCCCTGTGAATCATAGATCCTTGTCCTATTCTTTTGATTGTAATGATTTTATCGCGATTAGTTCCTGAGTATTAGTCATCCAGTTTAGAGGCAAAATCTCCAAATCGCTTGTCCGCATCTAAGCCTCGATCGTTGCTGTCGTGATACTTCTAGATGTGTGACTGTAAGGTCTAAGGATGGCTTCGGACGATGAGAGCAAATCACAAAGAGCGCATGAACGCGTGAAACAAGTTTCATCTCATATTGCGCCTGCAGCACCCTCAACAAATGATGCAGAACAACAGCCAATAAACCGGAGGAAGAAAAGACAAGCTTCGGCCCCAGCCGGTCCTCCGGCCGATTACTCAGACCGGCTCGGCCAAATAGCCACGCTCGAGAAACTAGCCCGCACGCCGGACATCAACCACCGGGGCTACGCGCGGCAGAAGCAAGCCGGGAAACTATGGGTCCGCGAACGCGTCGAAGCCCTTCTCGACGAAGGCAGTCTTCGAGAAATCGGTAGCGTCGCCGGCGACGTGACCTGGGCCCAAGAAAAAGAAAAAAGCAAAGACGGCGTCTCGCAAGAAGTCATCACTGCCTTCACGCCAAGCAACAGCGTCCAGGGCTACGGACGCCTTAACGGGCGCAAGATCGTGTTCACCGCCGACGATTATACATTACGTGCCGGCCATGCGGATGGCGCCATGATGGAGAAGACGCTGTATATCGAGAAACTGGCACTTTCGCTACGATTGCCGATCGTGAAACTCGTTGACGGGTCTTCCGGGGGTGGGAGCGTTACGCTTATAAAGGCTAACGGCTTCTCGCATATCCCTCCGCTTCCAGCTTTTGCGCAAGTCGTCGAGCAGTTGAACTTGGGTATTCCGAATCTCGGCGCCGTGCTGGGCCCGGCTATTGGGCTTGGTGCGGCAAGGGTTACGGCGTGTCATTTTAGCGTCATGGCGGCGAATGTTGGGGCGCTTTTTAATGCTGGGCCGAGGGTTGTCGTGGGGGCTACGTTTGAGGAGGGATTGACGATGACGGAGTTGGGCGGTCCTGATAGTAAGTTGTGCTGACGCTTCCTTGTCCTCCCGTGCTGAGTCAAAGCGATCAAGTTCTGTCTGTGCAATGTATGGCTTGAGGCTGTATCTGATGCGAAGACGTCTAATGAATGAATGAATAGTGCACTGCCGCAATGGTACGATTGATAACATGGCTCGCGATGAGTACGACGCATTCGAACAGATCCGCCGCGTTCTCAGCTATCTGCCCAACTCAGGCTTCTCCGCTCCACCAATAATCAAGAGCAACGACATCCCCAATCGCCGAGAAGAGGCTCTCCGGAGTCTAATACCCCGTCGCAAGGAACGCATGTACGACCCACGGCGCCTCATCTCCCTAGTCGTGGACACGAACTCGTTCTTCGAGATCGGCGCGCTCTGGGGGACAACAGCGATCGTCGGCCTCGCGCGCCTCGACGGGCATTCCGTCGGGATCATCTCGAACAACTGCGAAAGTCCAACGGGAGGCGCTCTCGACGCGCTCGGCTCGCAGAAAATGACAAAACACCTCAAGCTCTGCGACGTCATGAACCTGCCGGTTCTCCAGTTCGTCGACGTCCCAGGCTACGCTATCGGCACGGCGGCTGAGCGGGCTGCGACTATGAGACATGGTATTAACCTTGCTATGGCGTATTATTCGACGACTATCTCTATTTTCAGTGTGGTTACACGGCGGGCTTATGGTGTGTCTGCGGGCGTCATGCTGGATTGCCGGGATCCGCGCATGCGCGTCGCGTGGCCGAGCGGTGATTGGGGGTCGTTGCCGCTGAAGGGCGGGATTGAGGTCGGCCATTCGTATGAGCTTAAGGAGGCTGTGAGGAAAGGGGGACAGAAGCGAGCTGATGAGCTTTATGCGAAACTAGAGGCTGAGTATAATAAGCTGAGTGAGTCAACTGCTTTTCTTTCACGCAGCTATAATTCTGTCTCATTGCTTTCTTTACTGATCTTCATCTTCGTAGTGAACCCGGTGAGAACGGCTAATGCATTTGGAGTTGAAGAGATAATCGATCCTGCCGACACGCGCGGTGTTGTCTGTGATTGGATCTCTCATGTTTATGGGGAGCTCATGGGAGAGAGGTTGGCGAAAAGAAGGGCTGGCACACTTCATACTTCATTCGCATAAATACATCTGAAACTTATTGTGATATATAGCTCTGGCATTTTAGCGAGTATCATCGTAATTGAATTTTACACTCATCGGCGTACGCTTACTGATATATCTCAACATTGTTCATATTTTATGCCACTTCCAATCTCTGAAAGGCGTCTAGCTCTCCTGGCAGCACCTTGCCCAGCTGCTCTGCCCATGATGACACCCATAGTCAGCCCACTACCGCCGGGGTAGTTATTATAAAACAAGCCGCCTAAGATCTCGCCCGCACACCATAGACCTTCAATCGGCTTTCGAGTAACTTCGCTCAGGACCTCTGCGTCCGGGGTTGTGGCCAGGCCTCCGAATGT